AACAAACTAACACTTAAGAATCCAGTAGAGGAAGAAAAAGAACATTCATTAAGCCCCTACTGTACACCAAGTCTATCTCACTGATGCTGGTGAAAGACCAAAAGTACAAAAGTTTAGCTTAAGGATCTTGACTGGCTTTATTTGCAGTTCTAGAACTGGGTAACATTTCACTTGACTATATGGAATATTAAGTGTTGTGAAGGGCCAAGCAGAAGAGGTTGCTTTTATAGAAGGAGAAGGGCTGAAAAAAGCAGAAACAAAGCACAAAACATACACTGATCATTTCAATGTTATTTTCTTGTAAGGTGACAACAGGAAAATAATTACTTATGCCGTGTATGCTGCTGCACACTAGTAGTCTGTTATTTGGGGGTTGAGGCAGGACTGTGAGTTTGAGAGCAATTTAGCGAGTTCTTATCCTAAAATAAAATTAAAAAGGACTGGAGATATATCTCAATGATAGAAAGTTTGCATAGCATACACGAAACCTTGTATTCAATTCCCAGTACTGCCAAAGCATAGTAAAATGGAAAAGTGGTTAACATTATATTACTTTATAATCATTCTTTGGTGTAATATTAAAACAGAAGAAACTTCATTATCACATCAATTGAGACTAGACTGCTTGCTTGATGTTCCCTCTTTCTTGGAAAGGTGAGTGAGGTGTGGTGTCATTAATTCCATTTTGAATTTTAGGCTGGTATCTTGGGGTCTAGTGCAGAGACTTAGTCCAAAACAACAGTTTTCGGGGCCGGGGAGATGGCTCAGTGGAATAAGCGCTTCCCTGGCAAGCGCAAGGGCCTGAGTTCAATCCCCGGTTCCGAAAAAACAAAAACAAAAACCCAACAAAAACCAAAAAACAAAACAAAACAAAAACCCCAACAGTTTTCAATAATTGTTATTCAACACTACTTACCAGCACCCATGAAGTCAGCAGTACCCCATGCATAAGGGAGTAGAGGTAGCACTGGAATCCAAGTTGGATTGACTGAAAACCCAGTGTATGTTCTCATAAAGCACAGTGCAGAACTGAAACAGTTTCCTATTTAGGAGGAAAGAATTAAGAAATGGGGAGAGGTCTTACTAAGACTTTAAGTAAGGAGGACCTAATGCACCTATTTATCCAGGCCCAGCCCTATGCACCAGAAATCATACAAATGTTTACTTCCTTCTTCTACTTGCCCCTCTGTGGCAGAGTAGGCAGCATGAGAGGATGTGAGTAAGGACATCAAGGAGTTGTCAATCAGATCTTTGGCCCCACTAGAAGAGGACCAGCCTGTCAGCTGAAGCAGGAAAACTCATATGATCCCAGAAAACTCCCAGCTATGGATTAGTAGACAACCTAAATTGCCAAATGTACTTGAACAGCAATCATAAAGCCTATCTCCCCTCTCCACTTTCAAAAAACAAACAAAAAAAACACACAAAAAAGCCCACTTCATCCTGAACGAACACTCATCTAGCAGGGTCTGGGCTTATTGATGGAGCAATACTCCATGGTAGACTATGCATTCAGAAAGCACCAGAACATGGGGTCCTGGGTATAATGCCCAGCAATCACATTCCCCTTCCCCCCTAAAAACAAAACAAACAAACAAAAAAACCACTCCTTACAAATTCCTCCTAGTCTCTGTTGGAACATAAGTGATAGTGGCTGACTACCTTAGTATATTAATATTGAATAGCTGAGTTTGATTAATTCTGTAGGTGGTCTTCCTCTCGGCAACATATTCAAAACTCTCTCAAAGTTTAAACATTCACACTACAAAATTTACAAGACTCTTCATGACACCCTGGCAGACCCAGTAAGGGTAATGATGACTAGTATGGTGCCTCAAATTCCCTGGGTTCAAGAGGGAAGCTCAGAGAGAAATGGAACAGCTTTAGGAAATCTGACCTGTAGCTCTGAATTATGAGAGAGTAAAAGGATTTTCAAGTCCTATGAATGCCATGGGGCATGGAAATCCCTGTGGTCCAGGGATCTCTTGGCAAAGCACAAAAACAGTAGAAGTCCCCTCTGCAGCGTACTTGTGAAGATTAAATAAGAAATCCAGAAAGTTCATAATAGGCAAGCACACAGGTTTGCTACTAGAATAAAAAAAGACACTATAAAAGTGAATAAAAGAATAAATAAGAAAATAGGAAGAAGACAAAGCTCTCTTAGGGTTAAACTCAAAATAATGAATGTGGAAGGATGGAGTTAGATATTCAGCATTTGTAAGCATCATAGGAATAATTAATTTGATATTAGTGATCAACAGATACTAAATCTAATAGGCAAGATTTTGGCTAGGAATGGGCTATAAAACTAATATAGCTATATTTATGTCTATCAAGAATGGAAAATAGCCAACATGTAAATACTTTGATGAAACTAGGTAAATGATACACGGACATTTGGAGTAATATCTTTGTATGCATGTTTTTGTCAATTTGAAATTATATCCAAATTTTTAAGAAAGACTTCAGAGGAGGCTAGTGCCAATAATCGCCTTTCTTCTGACACACTGTACCTTACTCGGGTTCACAGGAGTAAGATTTTAAAAACTCTAGAATAGTGCTTGATTGGGGTGGTGAACTTGAATCGCATGTGTACTGTTTATTAGAACTGTGTCTTTTGACAAGTTACTCAAACCTTTTGTGCCTCAATTTCTCTTTCAGCAAAATGATTGTTTTCTATATCTACTTAAAAAGTTACAACAAAGACTAAATGAGCTCCTATTTGTCAAGTTCTTGGTCTCTATAATTTCCTTCCTTCCTTCCTTCCTTCCTTCCTTCCTTCCTTCCTTCCTTCCTTCCTTCCTTCCTTCCTTCCTTCGTGAGAGAATGGGAATTGAGCCCAGTACCTTGGGCTACAGGGCCATTCATTTTATTAACAGAAGAATATAGTAAATAAATAAATAAATAAATAAATAAATAAATAAGACAATGGTGTAGTGGATTGCTAACTGGTGGTTAACTTGTTACACCTAGTTGAACTGAGCTAGGGTAGTGCTCGGTGCAGGAGGCCCACCTGAGGATTGTTGTGAACTGTATAAGAGGCAGAACTGAAGAAGTTGTAGAGAGGCTGTTACGAAAGCTGTTTGGAGGAGCTGTTGGAAGCTGCTACTTCTCCTGCTCAATGTGCTGGGGCACATTGTCATGCCGGCTTTCCTGATGAACTTGGCTGTTCTCATCAGCAGAGTATGGAACCTTGTTGCCACTGAGAATGGCTACAGTTCACTTTGGGGAGTGCTTGTCCTCACCTAGACCACTGCTTTCCGGTTCTGGAGGGAAGATGGTGTACAGCTCAGTCCCCTGGAGCAGCTTGTTATGTTGGCTTTCCTGATGAAAACTCAACTTTCCTCCTCACTGGTGGAACTCAGGACTTCACTGCTGCTGAGGTTAGCTGTGTTTCTTTTCAGGGGAGCTCTGGTTCTCACCTTGGGTATTGCTTTCTGGCTCTAGTTCAGATCTCTCAGCCAGTTAGCACAGACTCTACATCCTGCTGGCATAGACTTTCTAGCTTCCACCATTGATCTTTGGGCCTTTTAAGTAAGCACAGATCTACAAAGCGGGCCTGAATGAGACATTGTTGTGTGAGTTAGGCCTCCAATTGGACTTGTAGGAGGGATTGTTATGAGAGCTAGGTTTTCAGCTGGACTTACGCAGGACATTATGGTAGAATCCAGTCACTCACGGTTTCTTTGGTCTTTAGTGTGTGGATAGATTTCCTGTACTCTTTGTATGTGACTCTTTGGGTAATTCATTATAAAATCTTATAGAATGTGTCCTGTATTGTATTGTTCCCCTTGCAAAAATCACACACAATGACAAGTGGAGTATTACTCAGATATACAAAAAGATAAACTCAAGGCTTTTACAGGTAAATTGATTCAACTAGAGACCATACTCGTGAAATTAGACCCACTTGTGTAAACATCATATTGTCTCATTAGTGTAAGAACCTGAATGAGTAAATAAAACCTGAAAGGTACAATAAATATGTGAAAGGGATAGAAACTGCTCAAAGGGAAGGAAAAACCGGGATGAGGGAAAAGAGAAAAGGGCCATTTTTGAGATAGAGCTTCATTAAGTCACTCAATTGCTCAGGTGGCTTGAATTTGGCAATTCTCCTGCCTGCCTCAAGCAGAGTGCTGGGATTACAAACTTGTGCCACGAAGCCTGACTGCTATTTCACTTTTATCTCACGTAAAGCACACAGGATCCTGTAAACTCCAAATAAATGTTCTTATTCGCATAGTTACCAGGCTTAAAATTCTTAAGTAATTTTGCACTGATTAAGGATTAAAAAAAATGGACACCAGAACAAAATCCCAAACCTCCCTAAGGGGTAGAGTTTACACCAACTACAGCCGACTCCTTGCTCCTGCACCACAGGTCCCTGTCGCCTTCCAACTCCTTCCAGCTTCCTCCTCCACAGGCCTCTGGATCTTAGGACTGGACTAAGGTCTCCGCTGGGCGGTGCAGGCTCTTGCTTGGGGGTTGGGCCTGCAAGCTCTCACAGCACTGATCAAGGTTCTCGGCAGGTTCTGTCTATCCCCAGGGACAGCTTAAGCGCCAAAACCACAGGGTTTCTGGCATAATGGTAACCCGGGGACAACATGGTGAGAGGGCCATGAGGCCTTTGGGATACTAACAGTAAGCCTGAAGTGGGATTCTGGTAGAGGCCAGAGCAGGGCCGTGAGGCCCACGGTTGTCCCGCGGTCAGGCGGCCCCGCCCCTGCCGCCCTTGCCGTTCCACCCCTTCCCTCTCCCGCCCCATCCACTCCCCTCGCCCCACCCCCTCCCTCCCGGCCCGCCCCTTTCTCCCTAGGCCCGCCCCGTCCTCCCGCCCTGACC